CTGGTGCACGAATCGACGCGGATGCGTAGTCAACCACGACATTTAGGCTTTGCCCCCGCGCGAAACGGGTCGGAGCCCGGAGTTGCGAGGCAATTTCAGGCGAAACGGACCAGGGCACTTCTCGCAGCATCTCGGATACCAGATTTGTGAGGGTGTTTTATGCGACGCGGGCGGGACCGACTTCGGAAGGTGTTTCAAGCGATACAGGCCAGACCTCCCAGAATTGAGGACGTCTGAGGCGAATCGCTGCGCGCCGCGCCAGTCCCTCGGCCAGAAAGAACACGTGCATCACATTCGTTTCTTGGTGATAATCCATTGTTCCCCACGGACTTGGGACACGAGTCAAGGAGTTGTGGATGTGGGTGTTTCCTGGAGGCGTGCAACCCTAGTCACATGTGCACGTGTCAGCCACAGTTTGCGGAACTCTGTGTCCCTTGCCCGTGGGGGCCCTTCAATTTCGACGCCCACCTCCAAAGAGCGTCGCTAGTATCGATGGGTTCCCACTAGGGGAACGAAACTCCACCCCAGTTGTGGCTGGTCGGCAACAGAAGCAAGCTAGAAGGGGAGAGGAGGAGGAGAAGGAGGCGGAACAGGATGAGGAGAAGGATAAGGAGGAGGAGGAGGAGGAGGAGGAGGAGGAGGAGGAGGAGGAGGAGGAGGAGGAGGAGGTGAGCATGCTCGACCAAGGGGTGCCGCCGCATTTGGACGAGAGCATGGCGAACAGGCTTACATCGCGCTCCCATTGGTAAGGCGAGCCAGTTCACTGAAACATTGCCCGGAGGCCCAACCATGGAGCAGCAACACCTTGGGTCAGCAAGCCTCCTGATTCGAATCGGCTTCTTGTCCACGCCGCCTCCACGCGCATCGCTCGTCCCATTTGCCGCCTTCGCTGCCACTCCCCGTATTCCCGATCACCGTCTTCGAAATCGGCCCCGACGTTTCGAGAGCGGTCGCTCGACTTCTGCCCGAGGCCGCCTCTTCCAGGCAGGGCTCGGCCAGTCTCGTGCCAGCTTCGGGGCGACGCTCGGTGTCTGGGGTCTGCCATGCCCGGGGTGTTCTGGCCAAGACCCCGAAGGCCGCAGGCATCAGCTCGCCTTGCCGCTTCTCCCGCTGGCAGGCCTCCTTCCATCCCTCGTCATCCAGGGGTGGACCTGAACGGTGTTTTGGCGATTTCGTGGGCCGTTTTCGTTTCGATTTAGTTTTGCGTGAAAGGCGGATTGAATACAAAACGAGGGAAAACGAAAACAAAACGAAAACGAAGAACACCGTTCAGGTTCAGCCCTGTCGTCATCCTCGTTCTCCTCCCTCCTCGCACCCCAGTGCGAACTTCCTGCAGGCGGCGCCCATTTCAAATTCTCGAGTGCCATCTCAGAGGGACAGCTCCAGCTCCTCGAGGTGTCCGCGTGAGTTGGGCAAGCACTTTTCTCTCCCCTTATTCTGACTTCGTCGGTGGCCACATCCTGTCCCATCACTCCTCACCCCATGTCATCTTCATCCTCCCTCCCATCCCTCCCTCCCTCCTGTCTTCCTCGCTTCTTCGTTTGCCACTCCTCAAGGCTCCCCTCGCGGCGGCACTGTGCCCGCGTCCAGAGGTATTGCTGATCTTGAGCCGCCTCCTCACGGACACAAACTTCAAGATCACCCGTGCCCAGCCCGCTTGTCCCCCCTTCCTCCGTCTACCTCGCACGCTCCCTCCTGGCCTGCCCTCCTTCCGCCGACCTGCCCACCCAACAACCCTCCCGTGGCGAGCACCGCAGCCCTGCGGGGGTGATGAGACCCGTATTGGTTTAGAGGCCGAGTGGGGAGGGGGGCGGCGGAGGGGGGATTCGGTTGTGGAGCAGGAGCGGGGTGCAGATGGGACGCGGCGGCGCCGCCTTGATGAGGCCGCAGCGTTTGGCCACAGCACCCTCAGTTGCGTGGTTGGCGTCTCGGGTCTTTGCATCTAGCTCTGGAGTTGCATCGGGGATTTTCCAGATAGCGGTGGTCTCATCAGATCGCTGATCACCGTGTTGGGGCGGGAAGGAAAAAGGAGGGAGTGTAGGAGGGGAGAGAAAGGGAACGAGAGAGAGCGAGTGGACAAGGAGGGGAGGATATGGCATGAAAATGTTGAGACTCGTGACACGCAGCGCATAGTCTAAGTGGCGATCAGATTTCCATGCTCGGGGACGGTCCATGTATTCAAATTCAAGTGTCTTCATGCTTCGCGTATCCCCACCGGCCAGTTCAGACACGTTGCCGATGAGAGCTGACAGGAAACGGGTGCGAGAGATCATGAGGCGATGCCCAGGCAGCTTGCCGTTTCCAGGAGAGTGTAGAAGCATGCGGTATAATACTTGTTCGGAAAGGTGCGAGGAGGAGCAGGAGGACGAGGACGAGGACGAGGACGAGGACGAGGAGAAGGAACATAATGACGATCACGGGAACGAGGAGGAGGAGGAGGAGGAAGAAAAGGATGACGAGGACAAGGAGGAGGACGAGAATGTCAATGAGGAAGAGGAGGAGCATGACGAAGATATTGAGAACGAAAAGGGGGAGGAGAAATAAGAGGAGGAGGAGGATCGGCCCACCGAGGGGGCGCGGTCGTGGCCAGAGACACGCCGCGGCCCTTGTGACCGAGCCTTCTACTTCGGGCGTGCACGCTTGGCTTTGCCTGCTTTAAGGGGCTTAATGGGGTCCCCAGAGGGCCAAATCTTGGCCGAAACATTCGGTGGCTGGCAATTCGCTAACCTACGCAACGCCTCCCGTCCACTGTCAGTGCCCACACCACCTGGACAAGGGACGGGGAGTTGGTTGAGCCTACCACCTCCAGTGCTCGTGCAGCTGCCGAGCCTCGCGCACGTCGTACACCAAAGCTGACCATTCATAATTAGCATCGAATGGGTCGGGTGTATGACCTTACCTCCAACTGTAAGTGAGGGGTACGCAGAGGGCGGGATGGGCAGGGGCACGTTATAACAAGAAACAAACGCTCTACCTTTGCACGGGTGGGCCTGCATCCAGTTCTCAACGGCTTCTCGCGTGGGGCCAAGCTTACAATGCAAACAGACCCAGCGTTTCTTATCCTTTGGGTGCTGCTGCATACAGTGGCCCGTGGCACGCTCAAGCACCCGCTGAAGCGCGACTATCTTCACAGGCCTGCGGCGGGCGCGCACACCCAAAAGACGCTGGTGCTTGACCCTGGGGAGCGAGTTGACAGCCGTAGCAACAGCAGCAAGACGCTTGTGGACCCGTTGCAGGAGAGCTTCATAGTCCTTCAAAGAATCTAATTGAGGTTGGATCAAATTCAAGGCTTTCCCGAGGCCACGTTGGGCCAGGGCGTCAGCTCGTTCATTACCTAGTGTTACAAACCAGGGCTGGGAAGCTACGCTCAGGCTCACGGCATCGAGATGGGAGTTACACTTCTTCACGCTGACATTGGAGATCTTGTCGGGCCTCTGGAGGATAGCCTGCTTGATCCGCTGCCACCACTGCATATGGGGACCTTGAGGGTAAAGCCACAACCGAGAGTTCCAACCACGGTACACTAGGGCATTGTCGGTCCAGATCTCGAGGGCCCCCTGGGTGTAGAGGAGACAGTAGTACAGGCCAGCCAATTCAGCACAGGGAACCGTCTGACGGCCGTCGATGGTGCCGAAAAGCCCAGGAAAACGATCCGCAGCAGGAGACCTGTCGAAATCGAGAGCGACCCCCCAGCCTCCACGAGCAATACGGGCAAGAGGAGGAGGAGGAGGAGGAGGAGGAGGAGGAGGGAAATGAGGAGAAGGAGGACGAGAACACGGACAAGGACCCTGGCAGTCATCTTGGGGTCTTCTTGATGCCTTTTTTGCGTCCTCTTGGAGCTGTCTCGGGGCCCTGTTGGGGCTCTCTTGGTGTCTTGGGGCCGTCTTGGGAGCCCTGGAATACCTCTTGGGATCTCTTGGGGCCATCTTGGAAGCCATCCATCAAAGGAGGGGGGTCCCCGATTTCCGCCTCCCCATCTGGGACCTTCAAGGCGGCATTCTGGTGCGTTCTTGGGATGTTTTGGGGCCGATGTGTGATGACTTCGGGGAAGTCTTGGGAGTTCTTGGGCCGCTCGTGGGGCTTTCATGGGCCATGGTTGGGCCGTCTTGAGGCTTCAAACGCGTATCGGAAACGGCATGGCGAGAAGGCAATTTCATTTTGTTGGTAGGTCTTGGAAGGATTATGGCCTCTGGGGCGGGTCCAGACGGGGGTCCGGAAGCACTTGGAGCCATCTTGCGGTCCTCTTGGGGCCTTTTGGAGGCATTTCGGAAGCTATCTTGAATCGGACGCCCAAATGGAGCGAGCCATCAGGGGACATCTTGGACGCTCTAACCCCTCGCGAAAACTCCCCAATAACCTCCCGCAGACATCGATGCGCCTCCCAGCGGCAGGTTCGTGTCGTGTCGACGCGGTGGCGATCCCAGCGCGGGCGTGCAAGGTTGAACGCCGCCAGCCCCAAGTCGTCCGATACCGAATCATTTACGTTATCCGAAAGCCGCCCTATTTCAGGGTTGAGTTAGCGTCATACTGTAAGAAACCATCGCAGAAGTCCCCCAAACAATAACCTGCCGCAGGACCCGCTTGGGGTGCCCACAACCCCCTCAGCATCCCCCGCCCCAGGACTTCCAATTCAGGACGCCCAAACGGGGCCAGAATGATTGGGGCTGGAGGATCGCGCCGCATCGCCAATGCCTCGGCGCGATCCAAAGCGCGTGTCTTTCTATCCTGTCGTCGCCGTTGGATTGCCGATGCATCGGCGATGCGGTGCGATCCTGCAGCCCCATCTGGGCAGGCCCCGTTTGGGAGGTCTCCATAGAGCCCTTTCCTCCATGCCTTCCTCGGCCGCGGCTAGGACGAGGATACACCTGTTCCAGAGCGTTCCAGAACGCTCTCAGAGCGTGCTGGAACGCTCTGAGAAGACCGCGGCGCCCGATACGTCCTCCAGAGCCGCGAGCGGCAGCATCTCAGAGACTCCCGCTGTGTCCTTTCCCGAGTTTGGCCTCGTCCTGGCTTCGTCTCGATTCCCTCCCGTAGTCGCCCTCCCTCCGCGGGCTGCCTCGGCGAGGTGGGCGGCGGCCGCAGGGGCGCAATGAAGACCACCCGCCGCCGACGGCGACGCCCGCCGAAGGGGGCGACACCTGCCGCCGACCCAGAGAGCAGGCGCTCCCCCAAAAACGGAGCGGGCGGTGTGGAGCAGAGTTCGGCCCCTTGGGGGCCCTTGCCAGGCCTCGGGGCCGTCAGAAGACAACTCGGGACGAAAAACTAACCCCAGGGAAGTGGTCCAGACCTCTTGGGGCCCACGCATCGAAAAAATTGGAGCAGCCGGATGTCTGGGGATGCTCACGCCCTCGGAGGGCCGCCCACGCCGTAAATCATCTGAGCGAAGCCGGAAAACAGGTTCGACTGCGCCAGTACTCGCGCGTAAGCTCCCCGCGTAAGGTCGCGTGTAAGCTCCCTCGTCTCCAATGTGGCTTGCCGCGCTGGTGGCCCGCGTAAGCCACCGCGTAAGGTCGCTATGTCATCTCGCGCAAGACCCGTTTTTGATCTTCGCTCATCTGTCAGGGGGGCGACATCACCCGCCGCCGCCGACGCCCGCGACGGCCGCTGTCGACGCCAGGTCGAGGACGATTCCCCGCCGGCGATCGAGGGCCGGTGCGCGCGCGCGCGCCGGTGCCGCCATGGCCACGGTGAAGTACCGCGGCCGCGTGATGGAGGCCTACCAGCACCCAGCGGTCAGGGACAGGAGCTCGGGGGGTAGGGAAGGGATGCATGCCGACGCCTCTGCCCCCTCCCTCGCCACTCGCCCGTCTGGGCCCTTCCTGGGGGGCCCTCCTCGCCACGGTCGGATTCACCTCGGAACCCTGGCCAGTCGGCACCTGGGGAGAGGTCCAGGGAGTCCCGCCTGCGCGTTCGCCGTCGTCCGCTTGCTTGTCGCTCGCTTTCGCCCTGCGCACCCTTATGATAAATGTGCAAGTGGCAGCGGATTTGCCAACGCCCGCCGGGTCGTCTTTCACTTTCACGCTGTGCATGTGTGTTCTCCGTATACTCCCTTTTGAATCGAGGCGGAATTTCACTGGCTCGTTCTGGCCCAAATCCCACCAGCCCTCTGGGTGGTTAAGCGAGTTGATCTCAGTTCCCTGCCACAACCCTTCCTTCCCCTGCTCGAGGGAGAGGTTTATCTTTTGATTCCCTAGTATATATATATATATAGATACATACATATATATATACATATATATGTATATGTATATGTATATATTATGTATCCCCTCCCCCAGGCGACCGTCAGCCAACCAGGTGCCATGAGGACAGCATGTTCATCCCCCCACACACCATCCCTGCCACAAAGTTATCCTGGCGGAGAACCCAACCACATGCAATTGTGAGTACCGCAGTTGTGAGCCCCGCCTTCGGTAGAGCCCCCTTGTAGGGCCACGAAGCGCGTGCGAACCCTGCCACTGGAGCCTTCGGTGGAGCTCCCTCCCTATGGGGCCACGAAGCGTGTGAGGGGTGTGCCGAAATGGGTACGGTGGCGCCACGTGAACCCTGCCAGTGGGGCCTTCGACGGAGCCCGCTGTGGGGCCACGAAACGTGTGAGGGTATGCCAAAAGGGGTGCGGTGGCGCCATGCGAACCCTGCTATTGGAGCCTTCGGTGGAGTTCCATGTGGGGCCACGAAACGTGTGAGGGGTGTGCCGAAATGCCTGCGGTGGCGCCGTGCGAACCCTGCCAGTGGGGCCTTCGGTGGGGTTCCATATGGGGCCACAACGTGTGAGGGTTGTGCCGAAATGGGTGTAGTGGCACCACGCGAACCCTGCCAGTGGGGCCCCAGTGGGGCCACCGGTGGAGCTCCTTATGGCCCCTCACCATCCCTGTCCAAAAATGATCCTGGCGAAGGACCCAACCAGATGCAATTGTACATACCGCTGTTGTGAGTCCCACCTTCGGTGGAGCCCCCTTCTGGGGCCACAACACGCAGGAGGGGTGTGCCGAAATGGGTGCGGTGGCTCCATGCGAACCCTGCCACTGGGGCATCCGGAGGAGCTCCTTTTGGGGCAACGAAGCGCATGAGGGATGTGCCGAAATGGGCACGGTGGCGCCATGCGAACCCTGCCACTGTGGCCTTCGGTGGAGCTCCCTGTGCTGCCACGAAACGTGTGAGGGGTATGCCGAAATGGGCGCGGTGGCGCCATGCGAACCCTGCCACTGGGGCCTTCGGTGGAGCTCCATCTCCCTGTGGGGCCACAAAACACGTGAGAGGTGTCCCGAAATGGGCGCGGCGGCGCCATGCGAGCCCTGCCACTGGGGCCTTCGATGGAGCTCTCTGTGGTGCCACGAAACATGTGAGGGGTGTACCGAAATGGTCACGGTGGCGCCATGCGAACCATGCCACTGGGGCCTTCGGTGGAGCTCCTTGTGGGGCCACGAAGCGTGTGAGCGGTGTGCCGAAATGGGTGCGGTGGCGCCATGCGAACCCTGCCACTGGGGCCTTCGGTCAAGCTCCCCGTGGGGCCACGGAACGTGTGAGGGGGGTGGGTCGAAATGGGCGCGGTGGCGCCGTGCGAACCTTGCCAGTGGGGCCTTCGACTGAGCCCCCATATGGGGCCACGAAACGTGTGAGGGGTGTGCCGACATGGGTGCGGTGGCGCCATGCGAGCCCTGCCACTGGGACCTTCGATGGAGCTCCCTGTGGGCCCACGAAACGTGTGAGGGGTGTGCCGAAATAGATGCGGTAGCGCCATGTGAACCCCGCCATTGGGGCCTTCGGTGGAGCTCCCTGTGGGGCCACGAAGCGTGTGAGCGGTGTGCCGAAATGGGTGCGGTGGCGCCATGCGAACCCCGCCACTGGGGCCTTCGGTGGAGCTCCCTATGAGGCCACGGAATGTGTGAGGCATGGTCCGAAATGGGTGCGGTGGCGCCATGCAAATCCTGCCAATGTGGCCTTCGGTGAAGCTCCTTATGGGGCCACGAAGCTTGTGAGGGGGGTCGAAATGGGTGCGATGGCATCATGCGAACCTTGCCACTGGGGCCTTCGGTGGAGCTCCCTATGGGGCCACGAACCGTGTGAGGGGTATGCCGAAATGCCTGCGGTGGCGCCATGCGAACCCTGCCATTGGGGCCTTCGGTGGAGCTCCTTATGGGGCCGCGAAGCGCTGTACTGGGTATGCCGAAACGGAAACAGGCGGAGGGCAGAGGCAAGGAGGGGGAGGGGGAGGAGGGGGAGAGGAGAGGAGAGGAGAGGAGAGGAAAGGGTCGCGGGGCGTTGTCTCTTCAAAGCGAGGACCCAACACCACAGACTGGTTGGGAACAAAGCAAGGTATAATTTGGGGCACCGTCTTGAGTCATGTTCGTGGTGCCCGCGATTACTTTGTATTTTTGACAGGGACGGTGGGGGTGTCAACATTTTGCCTGCTTTGCGCAGGGCAACCATCCTTGACAAAACACGATACAACGTGCACCTCGCGGCTAAATCTGGATCATGCGTGGCTACCCCGCGATCGTTGACAAGTGGTTTTTGACAGGGACGGCGGGGGTGGTGGCGTATGGCCTTCTGTGCGCAGGCCCACCAGACACAATGATGGGCATTGGTATGTGATAAGGATGGTGGGGGCCGACGTGCGTCCCGATGTGTGCTGTCACGTGCGCAGGCGCACCTGACACACTCTGCACGAGCCCCAAACGTGGCGCACCTGGCGCGGCTGGAGTAGCACACCTGGCGCACCTGACGCACCAGGCGTGCCTGGCACGCTCGGGCCCCAGGGGGGCCTGGCGCGCGTGGCGCGCCTGGCACGCGTGGCGCACCTCGCCCCAGCGTCGCGCACATGGGGCCGGTGTTGGTTCCCAATAGCTGTCCGCCCATCAAAAGACGACCGCTGAACATGCTCAGGCTCGGGTGTTGCTTGTGTGTTGGGGGGGCGGGTGGGAGTGAGCTAGACGGCTTGTTATCTAGGGGGTGTTTTGATCATTGTGCCCTATTCATATGCACCCCCTCCCCCAGGCGACGACCTGTCTTCTTGGTTTTGCCCGAGCCCCGTGCGCGGCCCGTGCCATGCGGTGGGGCTTTCGGTGGAGCTCCCTCTGGCGCTACGAACCGTCCGAAGGGTGTGCCACAATGGGGCGGCGGTGCCATGCGGACGCGGACGCCCCCACTGGGTCCTTCGGTGGAGCTCCTGATGGGGGCCACGAAACGTGTGAGGGCTGTGCCAACATGAGGCGGCGGTGCCATGCGGGCGCTCCCGCTGGGGACTTTGGTGGAGCTCCCTATGGGGCCAAATGGTGCGGCGGTGCCATGCGGACGCTCCCGCTGGGGCCTTCGGTGGAGCTCTTTATGGGGCCACGAACCGTGTGAGGGGTGTGCCACAGTGGGTCGGCGGTGCCATGCGGACGTTCCCGCTGGGGCCTTCGGTTATGGGGCCACGAACCGTGTTAAGGGTGTGCCTCAATGGGGCGGCGGGGCCTTGCGGACGCTCCCGCTGGGGCCTTCGGTGAAGCTCCCTATGGGGCCAAATGGGGCGGCGGTGCCATGCGGACGCTTCCGCTGGGGCCTTCGGTGGAGCTCTTTATGGGGCCACGAATCGTGTGAGGTGTGTGTGTGTGTGTGTGCCGAAATGGAGCGGCGGTGCCATGCGGACGCTTCCGCTGGGGCCTTCGGTGGAGCTCCTCATGGGGCCACGACCCGTCCGAAGGGTGCGCCAACATTAGGCGGCGGTGCCATGTGGACGCTCCCGTTGGGGCCTTCGGTGGAGCTCCCAATGGGCCACGAACCGTCCGAAGGGTGTGCCACAATGGGGCGGCGGTGCCATGCGGACGCTTCCGCTGGGGCCTTCGGTGGAGCTCCTCATGGGGCCACGAACCGTGTGAGGGGTGTGCCACAGTGGTGCGGCGGTGCCATGCGGGCGCTCCCGCTAGGGCCTTCGGTGGAGCTCCCGATGGGGCCACGAAAAGGGTGAGGAACGTGCCTCAATGGGGCGGCGGGGCCTTGCGGACGCTCCCGTTGGGGCCTTCGGTGGAGCTCCCTATGGGGCCACGAACCGGGTGGGGGGCGTGCCAAAATGGGGCGGCAGTGCCATGCGGACGCTCCCGCTGGGGCCTTCGGTGGAGCTCCTTATGGGGCCACGAACCGTGTGAGGGGTGAAAATGAGGCGGCGGTGCCATGCGGACGCTCCCGCTGGGGGCTTCGGTGGAGCACCCTGTGGGGCCACGAACCGTGTGAGGGGTGTGCCACAATGGTGCGGCGGTGCCATGCGGACGCTCCCGCTGGGGCCTTCGGTGGAGCTCCCTATGGGGCCACGCACCGTGTGAGGGATGTGCATAAATTAGGCGGCGGTGTCGCATGCAACCGCTGCCACTGTGGCCTGCGGTGTAGCTCCCTGTGGTGCCACGAACCGTGTGAGGGGCGCGGCGCTGACGATGGCGATGGTGATGATCATGATGATGTGGGTTATGCCGATGGCGATGATGATGATGACGATGATGACGACGACGAGGCGGATGGGAGGAGGGAGGAGGGACGGGGGGAGGGGTCAGCGGGAAGGAAGGAAAGAAGGAACGCGGGGTGTTGTATCTTCAAAACGAGGACCCAACACCACAGGATGGTTGGCAACCATACAACAAATATTTTGGGGCACAGTCTTGAGTCATGTTCGTGAGGCCCGCGAGCACTTTGTATCAGGGGTGGGGGGGTGTCAGCATATTGCATGCTGTGCGCAGGACAACCACCCCTGACCGAACATTCCACTACCGA